CAGGCCCACGTCTTCCTATAGCCCCCATATGACGGTACCTCCCGATACTCGGTATTTTCATGATTTTTGCGACATTATTCACCAGAATTGTAACAAATTTTGTATTGGAAGATCTTAATGGGTACTTCAACCTATGACAAAAAATTTCGTATGCAGGTCCACGTCTTCGTATAGCCCCCATATACCAGTCACTCCCGATTGTCGATATTTTGATGATTTCAGCAACATTATTCACCGGAATTGTAACAAATTTCGTATTGGAAGATCTTAATGGGTACTACAACCTATGGCAATAAATTTCCGTATAGCCCCATATAACGGTTTTCCTTTGAGCGGTATTTTTCGACTGATTTTTTTTAGGCCCGGCCGAATCTGTTTTTATGATATATTATGAAACGTTTTTAAGTTAAAATAGTAGGCTAAAATTCTGCAGTACACGGACCCAATAACCCATTGAAAACCTTACCATAATCTTGAAAACGTTCAACATGTCTGAATGTCCTGAGATTAATAATACACGCCTCACTGGAAGTAACTATTTTTAGGAGGGCAAGGACAAGTATATGATCCTTTCTTAGGAGTTATTTCAAGAATCGGAAAGACTCAAAACTAATTGAAAAAAAATACAAAATGCCCAAAAACATTTTGCTAATTATTTGAATTAATATAGGCTACAATCCCTCCGTTTTATTTAAAAAGCCTCGCCTATCGAGTTTTGAACCCATCAATCTCCCGATGCAACATTCACTGCAATTTCCCATACACGCTCCATTCTTGGTTCTCTTCATTCTGATGACGTTTATATTTCTCTGTTCCATTTATTGTTGTGAGTCAGTCAGTTCGATTTTTCGGGCTTCAGAAAAAGTTTTCCGTTTCATTTTTAATACCACTTTCGCCATAACAATAGCTGGCCGTAACAAATGGCAAGAAACTCTTTTCATGGTATCGTACCGAAAAAAAAAAACAACCTGACCATACTCACTCTCTCGCTCGTCCGTCCACTCACTAACAATGCAGAAAAACCCCAACACCAGCAACGAAACGAAACGCAACGCACTTTCCAATTATTGTCCGGCCTGCAAATGGAAGAAGAATTGCCTCGTTTCGTTCAATGAAAACGGGGGAACATTGTCTCTGACAAAATCGACAAAAGGAGTTGAACAAAAAGAGGAAAATAACGTTGACATCCTACAGCCATGACATGTCATGCCATTGATGCAGTCTTTATGAATTAGAGCGGAAATAATGTTAACCAAATACCCCAATCGTGTGGTGTACCAAAAAAATCTACAATTGTCATATATGGCAGGAGGAGGTCTGTGGGTGGTTGAACAATGAAAACCAGAGAATTCAAAGTGATTCACAGAAAGTAATGCAAGTTTAAAGAGCGTTTATTCTGATAACAATTTGGAGTTCATAGGTGCATGAATAGGTAAATGGGTTAATGTGGGAAACATGATTGGGAAGAAGTTTAAAAGTCAAAAATTTAAAAATCAAAAATATAAGAGCTTCAAATATTCAACAAAAAATTTAAATCCATTGGGACAATAGTAGAATGACATTGAAAATGTACAATTATGGGTCTGATATAATCCAAAAATGCACTATTATTCTGAAAAATTTTATTGGCCCTAAAAATGTTACTAGAAAACCAGGACTATAGGATAGAGAACCGAGAGATTGATCCCATAATTGATTCTCAAATTTACCCCGTGCAGTTTTTCTAAAAGTACGCAATAAAATTTCTGAAAGCCCTCCAGAATGGCCCTGTGAGCATTCCTATAAATTCTTGACTACATATCAAAAAAAAAAAAAAAAAAAAAAAAAAAAAAAACGAAAACATGCCAAATAGTATCAGTCGGTTTTGCCGACATATGTATACCTCCAGCCTTGACTTAGAGGAGGTTCCAAAGCAGTTGGCCAATATTGACCAATTCGTATCTGACCTAAGACTGATATAAATATTACAACGTACGGATTCGAACTGTATCGACTATTTTCTGTACTTTTTATGAGCTATGTGTAATTTTTTGGAATATGTGGAAATATGCGTGAGGTAACAGATATAGCGGATCGAAGTGTTCCGTTTTCATACTTCGTCTAATACAGATTAAAATATTGGTATGTGCAAAATTTGAAAGTTATGACAAATAGTATTGGAAATTCTGACCTTTTATGGGTACGATACCAGAAGGGGTTGGCAGATGCATATCATTTTGTGATAGGAAAACTGTTTGTATGTGTGAAATTTGAGGAGATGGATGGATGAATTTGGATGCTTATTTCGCTTTCTTTTAGCGTTTTGTTTTTCAATGTGGGGAAGGTACCACATTGGATCAAGTCTGAGTGGAATCAGACGTTGTTTTCGTGTTTTATGAGCTTCATGGATTCTCAAAATATTTACCCTTTGGACCGATAAGGGAGTGGACCGATATATACTATATTCACAACAGATATTTTGTTGGTAGAAATAAAAGGATGTGTGAAATATAAAGAGAGCTTAATACTTATTTCGATTTTATTAACTTTTTGCTTATTCAAAACATTGACCGTTTGTGTGGGAGGTAGCATAAGGAATGGTCTGATCTCTTCCGTCTTTACCAAAATTTCCTGTCGGTAGAAATATTCAGATGTGAAAAGTCTAAATGGAATCGGATGTTAATATCGCGTCTTTCGCTTCATGGATATTCAAAATTTCGACATCTTGTGCGGGAGGCACTTGATGAACTGGACGATATTATTCATTTTTGCACCTGATCTAGCTCTGATGCTAATATTAGGATTTCCAAAGTTGGAGCAAATGGGATTATCGCTTATTTTTCTGTGCAGATTTTTTTTTTTTTTTGGAAAATTTCGACCTTTTGTGTGGGAGGTACCAAAAGGAGTGGATCGATATATTCCGTCTTAATACCAGATCTTGAGTTCATGAGTATATTATGACGTGTGAAATATGGAGACAGTAGGACACTTACATCACATTTTATAAGAGCTAAAATTATTATTCAAAATAATTATCCTTTGTGGGGAGGTACTTGATGAAGTGGACCGATATTGTCTATTTTCGAACCTGACCTAGCACTGACGCAAATATTAGGATTTTCAAAGTTGGAGAAAAATCGGATTTACGTTTCTCTTTCTCTGCAGAAAATGTATTTTTTGAACATTTCGATCTGTCCATCTTTGTACTAGATTTAACTTTGATAATAATATTACGATGCACAAAGTTCGGACCAAATCGGATACTCCCAGGCTGGCGTATCAGCCTGAAAACCAGTTGAAAAGTATTAGTGGGTTTTGCTGATAAATATATATCCTCAGCCATGTCCATTCCGAAGGAGTCAGCCAAGGTTGCTCATTTCGTATCTGACCTAAGTGTGATATAATTATTACTAATTGCCAGATTTGGATTATATCTACTGCTTCCTTTAATTTTTTTTGCGATACAGTAAACCAAAGTACTCCACTTCTTCTAATGCTGATGAAAATATTGGAATGTACAAAATTAAAAGAAAGTCAAACATTTATTTCCAATTTTATGCAAATAATTGCTAATCAAAAAAAAAAAAAAAAAAAAAAAAAAGCCAGACGGACGGACGTCCTACATAGACTCCAAACGTCCTTAAATGGATTTGGTCCAAAGAGACCTACGTTCTAAAACAGTTATTCAGATGGGACATGTTTTGGCCTTATAAAATTATATATACCATCTCTAGCCATATGGGTGAGTCTTTGAAAAAAAAAAATATTTTAAAATGTGGAAATTACTCCACATAGTCCTTTGAAAAATAAAGGAAGCTAATGATTCCGAGTGTACACAAAGAAAAATCCTATAAAAAAAATATTCTCAAAAATCCACAATTATGCCAATAGTTATACTCGAAAAAATAATTTTTTTAAACACCACGATGATAACTCTGGTGGTCCTTGAAAAAATATATTTAGTAAATTCATGGAAATGGCTCTAATAGTCGTCTAAATACATTTGTGATAGTCCTTTTAAAACATATATTTAAAGGAATCGCGAACTCCGGCTCTAATTGTATTGGAAGACATTATAATAGTATGTGCGTAATTGACAGCACTTAAAAAGGAATTTTAAAAATCTATAATTTTGCTATGAAATGAAAAAAATATTCTTAGATATCCGCGATTGTTGCCTTAATAGTTCTTTTTTTAATATTTTTATTAATTCACGACTATGACTCCTATGGCCTCTTACAGAAAATAAGACTATTGTTATGATGTCCGTTAAGATAAATTTAAATTTAATTAGCAAAGACACAAACCAATGTGATTTTTTCTCCGGTTCGCAAAGGGTTACTAAAGATAGAGAATGCGAGATAGAGAGAGGGAGTGTTAAACCAGAGAAAAATAAAAGGTAAATTAAAAAAAAATCCTAAGTCTAAAATTCTTTTTGGCTATTAGGTTTCCCTAAAATTGAGAGATAATTCAAAATAATTAAAAAAAAAATCCTAAGTTTGAAATTCTTTTTGACTATAACCTTTCATTTGTGCCCAGCCTCGACACTGCTTCATTCTTAGTTTCTGTTCTGTGGACCATTTTATCTGCAGTTTCCCTAAAACAGCGATAATTCTTCAGATAATTCAAAAAATTCTGCAATTGAAATTCTTGACACCGCTTCATTTTTAAATATTTTATTCTGGATTTAAATGTAGAGTTAAGGGCTTCAAACTTTTTCAGCGTACATTTTAATTATGTTTTTATTTACCCATTTCATTATATATTTGAAATTTGTACGGAATATTATGCAATTTGATCAAAACTAATATAACTTAATTTACCTTTAATTTTTCTCTGGTTTAATACTCCTTCTCTCTATCTCTCACTCTCTCTCCATTTAGTAACCCTTTGCGAACCGGAGAAAAAATCACATTGGTTTGTGTCTTTGCTAATTAAATTTAAATTTATTTTGACGGACATTATTGTTATGACCGTCTATGGAAAACATCCACGTTAAAAGATATTTTTTTGGTACTTACCACTAAAACTATCGTCCATAGGGAAGCTGTTGAAACGCGATTGATTCTGTTAATCCAGTGAAAGTATTTGCAACGTTTTATTTTTGTCGCTGACATTGAGCTGTGATTAAAACTGGGTGGTATTTGATGTTTTGAGGCCATATTTGATTGCAGCATTGTTGTCCTGGTAACATGTCTTGAACTGGAATGGAAAATAATAAATAAATAATTTTATTAAATTTCGATATTAAAAATAGTCAGGCTTAAAATTAGTATATAAGAAAATTGATTTAAAAAACGAAAAAAAAAAAAAAAAATAAATATTTAATGTAACTTAAATCAAAATGTTCCTAGTACCCTCAATGTATCCCCAGACAATATTTGGCACTCAATCTCTTACTTGTAGCAATTTCACACATTTAAAGTTTAACTTATTTCCAATACGAATCGTGTCGAAGACATGTCATTACAACAAAGTTATCGTCGTCATAAAAGTTGTTTCTTCTCAATGAGACTTTTAATGTCTGACTGAATGACTTCTGGGTTCTTTACCTTCTCATAAGGAAATGTGTGTGTGTCTGTATTGATAGTCCTTGTCTGGTGCCTAGTGTTAATGAATGTAATTAGTGATAAAAGTGTGCGTGTGTGTGAGTGCGCGCGTGAGTTTGAGTGTGTTTGCGTCAATAATCATGTGTCACGTAGTAAATGGAATTCACGATTTTATAACGTCATGAATGGAAGCTATGTATGACATAAATGTACATCCATATATACATATGTTTGTCAGTTTATTTGTGAGAACATTCGTGGCCCTTCTCCGAGCCAAGTTCAATGTCATCTATCGGCCAATTGAAATAAGAAACTATGTTTATTTTAGGTAACAGACGGCATTGGATGCCAAAAGCCAATAAAATATCCTCCTCCATGTCTCGTGACTGTTAAATATTTAATCTGAAGGTTGTTGGTTGACATAACGTTCTTTGAAATGATAAACCAAGACACCAAACTAAAGGCAATGTAATAAAATGTTGTAATTGCTATTCTGTAAGTTTTATTTATGTAGTTTATGGTTTAATGACACCATCGGAGGAATTGTTGGTGATAAAGAAGAAATGGAGAGAGATGAGAAAGGAAATCCAAGACTAAATTGGGGGAGAATGATAACTTCTAACACGAAGTGAAGTCAACAGGGTGAGATGAAAAAACTGCAACCAAGTTCAGACTGCTGTCATTTCTAAGCCACTCGTTCGAAAGCTTTTAAAATTATTCCAGTGACAGCTCAATATATTGTTTACATGCGTACAAAAGCATTTTGGTGAGAATTCCAGAATTTCTAGAAAAAAAGGTATTCGTGATGGAATTCAAACGTGATGGTGTAATTTCCTTATTTTTGGCTGGAAAACCACAAGTGGCTATCGTTAGAGCACTCCAGCATTTAAGTGTGAATAAATATTTTGGGTCTCGTACCATCGCTCGTTACCGTGATTCTGGTAGCGTAGCTCGACGTCAAGGAAGTGGAAGGAAGAAATGAGCAACATCAGCAGAAATGGTTCGAAAAGTAAAAAAGCGACTTGATCGAAACCCGCGTCGCAGTGGCCGAAAAATGAATGGCTCGTGAGCTGAACATATCGCAATATTCCATTCGGCAAATATTGAAAAATTAGCTCGGCGTAAAGCCCTTAAAATTCCAAAAAGTGCAAGAATTTACATCGCAACACAAAGAAAATAGACTCAAAGAGCTAAAGAGTTGCTTCGCTTGGCCGAAAGTGGTGTACTGCTTCCGATGAGAAAACATTCGGTGTCCAGCAGTTTGTAAACAAACAAAAATTAACACGATAATTTACTTGCCAAAGAGGTCAGCTGGAAATGTGCACCTTCGGTTGGCCACCAGAACTTAAGCGCCGGCCATGGTGATGATGTGTGGGCCGGCCGTCATAACAGCCGATGGTCGCTCTCTGCTCGTATTAATCGATCGTGGCATCAGAATAAATGCCGAATATTATGGCGAAAATATTCTGGAGGGTGAATTAAAGCTCTGGGCACGCAAACATTTTGGCCGCAGACCTTAGACATTCCAACAGGACTCAGCACCATCGCACTCAGCACGCGCCACCCTAGAATTTTTACAAAATTAGGTTGTACGGTTAATTTCCAATGGCCACCAAAATCTCCGGATACCAATCCGTTGGACTATTGTGTCTGGAGTATTTTGGAAAGCAAGGTTGACACTAAAAAATACCAAAGTGTCGATCACCTCAAGCAAGCGCCTCGCCGGGAATGGTGCAAAATAAAGCAGAGCAACATTGGGCAGCGTGTGACGGTTTCATGACCGTTTGAAGGCCATAATTCGTGCTAAAGGCGATCAATTCGAACATATCTAAATTTATTCTAAAATATGAGGCTATTTCCGACATTTTTTGCTTTCAATCAATAAAATTTAAAAAAAAATCTAAAAATTATAGCGTTTGACTTCGTTTTAGTTTTTTATACCCTACACCACAAGGTGGTCAGGGTATTATGTCTTTGTGCATTTGTTTGTAACAGGCAAAAGGAAACGAGATAGACCCATAGTTCCTTTTGATGATCTGCATAGAATCACATTCTGAGTCGATTTATGCATGTCCGTCCGTCTGTTCGTCCGTCCGACCGTCCGTCTGTCCATGTATTCCTGTGAACAAAATGCAGGTCGCATTTATTATCCGATTAAGATGAAATTTTGCAAACAACATTTGTTTGGCCCAAGGACGAACCCTATTGAAATTGGAGATAATCGGTAAAAATTTAGATATAGCTCCCATATATATCTTCGTCCGATTTGCCTTTTATTGTGCACCAAACGTGTAATATCAGCCCGAATAGTATGGAATTTTGCACATACAACCAAATTAGACCTGAAAATAAGTATGCCAAATTTTATCGAAATCCTTTCAGATATAGCTATAGCTCCCATATATATTGTTCATCCGATTTGTAATTTTTGTCCTCCGCAGCCGTAATATGCACTCTGTAACAACAATATTTGGGGAAATATATCAAACGCAGCTCAGAAATACCTTTGCTAAATGTTATCGAGATCGGTTCAGATTTGGATATAGCTCCCATATATAACTTCGTCCGATTTACCATTTATTGTGCACCAAACGTCTAATATTTGTCCAAATGGGATGGAATTTTGCAAATACGACCGAATTTAGTCTAGAAGGTAGTATGCCAAATTTGGTGAAGATCGGTTCAGATATAGTTATAGCTCCCATATATATTGTTCATCCGATTTGTTGTATTTGTTACCCACAGCCGTAATATGCACTCCGTAACAACGATATTCAGGGAAATATATCAAATACAGCTCAGAAATATCTTTGCCAAATTTTATCGAGATCGGTTCAGATTTGGATATAGTTCCCATATATATTTTTATACGATTTCAAATTAATTTCGCACCAAATGGGCAATACAAGTCCGAATTTAAAAGATACAAATGCTTCGGCATATTTAGTCCTTTGAATTTTAAATTATAATTATAATCATAGCGTGTATGATTAAATTCTCCCATAAAAACTTTTAATTATTAAGTGGAGCTCAACTAAATTAGCAAAGTGGTGTGGGGTATCATAAAATCGGCCCCGCCCGACTTTAGGACTTCTTTACTGGTTTTTATCTTATAATGTACTGTAGGTAGTTAATTTGCAACAGTAAAATCTTTTTATTAAAAATATGTTTCCTTAAAATACCTATCTTTGTAAATCATTCAATGTAAAATATGTTGCAAAATTACGTCAATCAATTATTTAATATTTTTAAAAATTTATAAAATATTAGATTTCAATTAAATAAATCCCATTGCACTTGTAAATATTTAATAAAAGAGTTTTCCCAGAAATTGTTTATATTTAATAACTAAAAATAAAAAAATGAATATTGAATGGCTCGATATTTTTTTCAGAATTCTTAATACCAAAAAAGAAAGAAAAAACCCCAAAACATAACTGACCTTATTAACATCATTTTCAACAACATTTTTCTTTCCATCTACACAGGGCGCCATCCCAGCTTTGTTGGTAATGCCACACTCACACACACGCACTTCAATTGAACCCCATCAAGGCATTTGAATTTCATTTCATTGTTATTTGGGAAAATACATTTCAATTTGAATATCGAGTAATTTGAGATAATGGATGTGTGTTGAGTTTTGTTGTTTTTTCCAATTCTGTTGTGATTCTCCCCTTTCAAAATTCAAAGATAAAACCGAAAGAAACATTATCAAATCATAAAAAGGGCTAAATGGAAAACAAAGAAAAAAAGAGAGGAAAAACTGAGGCAAGTAGTAGCAACATGTAAATAAACAAAAACACACACACGCACCAAACCAAATGGCAGGCAATAAAACGCTGTGCCGCCAGCCAACAAAAAAGCCACTAATGTGACACAATCATCATATATTAGCCCTTTAACAACTCCCTCAAGAAAACTGTGTGTGTGTAGGTATGTTTGGAAGAGAATCGAAGGGAGGAGCGAAGTAAAGTAGTGGCAAACAAAAAATATATGGGTCATTGGAGTCTGCAACATTCTTTTCGGCTGCAAGACCTTGTCAATTTATGGCCAATAAAACAAGAATCTATGTTTCTCGTTTTTATGGTGACACTGAATGAAGTGTGTCGCTCGTGTGTTCCACGCGTGCTAAGGTATGCATTCCATGATGATTGACACTACGAAGTGTTGGAGATACGGAATGGAGAGTCGAAGTCCCTTTGGATAGGGACTGAATAACGTCAAATGCAAATTAACTTGCAAGAGACAAAGTGGAATTTTTATTGCTGCCACTGTATGTACTTTGGGCTTTATATGACTAGGCGATGTCAAAAGGGAATTAAAAATATAATTTTTTAAATTTTGTGAACAATTTTGGGAAGGAGGAATTTAAAGAAATATTTATTTTTGAATTTAATATCAAATTAGAAAGGGGAATATTGGCGATGTTGCAAGTTTAAATATGACAGAAATTAAAAAAGATTTCAAAATTATAAAATTTTGAAATAGAAAATGCTGTATTATCTATTCTGTTTTCCAAAAATGGACCGAAAATTAACATTTTATGGAGAAATAATTTATCGAATATAATAGCGGGCCCAGAATATTTTTATTTCTACTTGCAAGGTTAAATGGAAAAAGTCTAGCTTGAAAGTTCTATAGTTCTCCGCC